TGATCCAACTGCCAGCCGTATCACACTATTTTTTCGTCATTACAACAAAGTTTATTTTGTCAATAAATGGGAGTCATTCAGTTTTGTGACACAACTACTTTGTTGTAATGAAAGTTTATTTTCCCAATAAATGAACGTCATTCAGACATACTGAGTCCCTGTCCTCAAGAAATGAAAGGTAACAGAGAAAATGTCTTCTTCGTTACTGAAGCAGATCAACATAATCGTGGACAAGCAGATTCAAATCTTTAAGCTGCAGAATGTTCAGGGGGACAAATTGTTCAAGAGATCATCTGGTCTGGTATGGAACAGCTCCTCCTCCATGAAGTACTTCTTGAGGTACTGGGGCGGTGGGGTAGCCTAGCGGTTAAAGCGTTCGCTCATTACGCCGAAGATCCGGGTTCGATCCCCCACATGGGCACAATCTGCTTCAACAGATATTTCTTGAGCGGGAAAGCATCTTCGCCCAGAATGAAGGTATGTTCTTCTCGTTCATCATTTACCAAAGGTTCCGGTGGTGGGAATATTGAATATTTGTGCACCACACATGTAATCTATACCACTCAATTCTATATCCAGATGACATGGTAATTCGCATTAAAATGTCATTAATATGGAGCAATAGCCCTTGCAGTTATGGAATAGACAAGCTGTGTTTTACTTTGTGATGGCTATATGTTTCCCACTCACAGCCCCTATTGCTCTCCTTGGCCTTTGCTTTCCATGCCGCCGGCAAGCCTCATCTTTGTAGGCCTGGACAATGGCTCTGCATGCTTCTGGGATAGGATGGCAAATAGAGGATTTACTACATCTGAAGTTGTTTAAGAATTGAATGTCTGTTTGTGTGTTTGCACTGAAAATTGAACGATGTCAAAGCGTTGTTCAAACTCGTGTGAACGAGCGAGTTTACGAGCTAAGAGAGCTTCGGAAATCTAGGCCCTGATCGTCAAATATTCGCAACAGATCTTAATTGAAGCGTAACTGATCGGATATCCAGCTGTAAGGATGCGTGTCAGATCCTATCAGAGCGAATGAAACCGTAAAAGAGCGTCATGAAAGGGAAAAATATACAAAACGCCGTGCTTAAACCGAGGTGCCGTCCAAAGCGGCGTCGAACCTAATTCCCGCCTTCTCTAATAATCCAACTTACCCCAAAAATATGGCATACACTCAAAGGAAGAAGTTGTGAGAAAACATAGCTGGAACAATCCCCACGACACATGTAATCCACTAGTTCTATGAGAGGTGATTGTCACCCACCAGGGTGTTAGGAAGCCAATGATGTCAAAGATGACGCCAGCCACACAAAATCCAAATCCAAGCTTGATTTTGGGAGACAACCCCATCATGTGTAATGACATACCCTGGGAACCTGGTTGAGAGATTGCTAACGTGGTCTCATGGGCCTTATACCCTGTTGGTCCCCTCTATACTGATTGGCTGACAAACAGTTACGCCTCCAAATATTGTCAGATGAGTAGTACACGGACGAATCACACTGTACACAGAAGTGTTTGAGCTGTTTTTCGGCGTTCCTGCATTCAGTCTTATCAGTTCGGAAGACACCAACAGAGGCTTCGTTTGTTGTAACATAAAGGATATCTGTCATTGGCATTATAAATACGTAACAATACCCGTGAAACTGTTTCTGTTGGGCATAAGAAATACAATGGTTGTTATAGACAGTTACAGGAGGCCTATTGACGTTAGAAATTCATTAACATCTTTAGTCCTGCTTCTTGACATTTTAACTAAAGTAGCACTGTTCTGCTAGCGTCTAAAAATATGCTGTATTATGTATATATAGCATGGCCTGTTTGGGTTTAGTGGGACAGTCTGTGTGACGTTAGTTACCAACAAACACTCACTTTGTTAACGCGAATGGAGAGAACAGAACTGCGTTGCGATTGTTTAGCCTAAGCATGGCATAGTCAGTGATTTCAATGGTTCATTTATGCTATAGTGTTCACCCCTATTTTAACGTGACGCTCAAAGGAAATTGTTTTGACGGACAGTCTAGACGGGCGTGGACGTTTCAAACACACTTGATAATGCTTTGAATTAAATGCAGCAATGGTTTGCGAGTCGATACCGTCTTTAAAGACATATAAATATCTGATGTATTGACTCATCTTGAAAAAGAAGAACAATTGATGTATTATAATTTAATCTCAAACATTTATGCTTATGCCACAAATGTGAAAGTGAGCGTCAGTGTTAACTGATCAGCTGCCTCGTGTTGGCGCTACAAAATAAAGAAAGTTATGATCATAACCACTTTTTAAATTTAATTCTGTCGCAAATTAATGCTGACTTAGAAGAACTCCTACGGTTATAATCGTATCCCAGTTGTGCATTTCGATGCTTGTGATGTCTATCATTGGATTGTCTGGTCCAGACTGGATTATTTAGAGGCTGTCGTTATGTAGCTGGAATATTGCTGAAAGCGGCGTCAAACAACACGTAAACAAAATATGTCGTATTGGGTGAGTGAGTATGGTTTTACGCCGCTTTTAGCAATATTCCAGCAATATCACAGCGGGGGACATCCGAAATAGGCTTCACACATTGTGCCCATCTGGGAAATCGAACCCGGGTCTTCGGCGTCACGAGCGGACGAGGCTTTGACCACTGGGCTACCCACAAGTACAGCACAATTAGTTGAGGATATCGAAACAACGTGATGCTGATCACTGGATTGTCTGGTCCAGACTCGATATTTACAGACCGTCACCATATAGCTGGAATATTATGCATTCCCATAGACTAACAACTGGTCTCTGAAATGAACATATTTTACAGAAAAAAAGCCCATAGTAAAAAAATAAAATACATGTATAATGAAAAGGAGCCCTGAGACTTTCTTCATTTTCGGAACCTAGACTTACCACATTTTCTAGACTTTCTAGGGCTTTCTTGGATATATTTGTTTCAGGGTCCTTATGACAGACTAGCATTCCCATGCGTCATAACCAATTATGTCAGTTAAGTCTTGAATAGCATTGTCCTCAAGCATAACTACACCCACACCAAGTTTATCAATCAGACAGGAGAAAGAATGGTTTCCGTCACACACGACTCGCAGTGCAAGATAATAAGACAATTATAAGCATAGCAATGTCGATTACAGTGGCTCGTTCTTTTGACACTTTTGTTCTTGATCCGATTTTGACAGAAAGTCTTAGGGATATTCTTTAACAAAGGAAGAAAAATAAAATATTGTCACTAAGGACTCCAAGCTGTCTTCATCCTTTTTTGCTACAACAACCTAATGACTTAGCTGTCTGCCTCTGCAACGACCCGTGAAGATCCGGGTTAGAATTGTTCTTGAGTAACCCATGTTTCTCGTCTCGTAAGAGGCGACTGAGGGGATCGGATGTCAACATTTGAACGTATGACAATTTTGTAGACTGATGCTCATGCTGTTGATCATTGGATTGCCAGGCCCAGACTCGATTATTTACAGACCCCTGCCATATATCAGGTGCTCCTTTCACGAAGCAACCTATAATAAGATTAACCTTAACTCCCATTCTGTCACATTGCACTAAGGTTTCCTTAGTGACGTACCATAACCTTAGTGCTTTGTGAAAGGAGGCCCTGGAATATTGTTGAGTGCAACGTGTAACAGCAAACAAACTAACAAACATAGAAACTATAACTGCAACCTCTGATGTGGGAAACTGAGCAGAATTAGAGTTTTAAAACCATATTTCTCCTCTGTCACTATGCGTTTGTTTCTTAATTTCAAACAGGTAGAGTACAATGAAAACAAAATTGCTCCTTTCACGAAGCAACATTTACTAAGGTTAACCTTAACTCCCATTCTTTAACATTGCATTAAGGTTACCTTAGTGACTTACGACCACCTTAGTGCTTTGTGAAATTAGGCCCTGGGCCTCCTTTCACAAAGCACTAAGGTGATGGTAAGTCACTAAGGTAATCTTAGTGCCATGTTAAACTGGGAGTTAAGGTTAACCTTAGTAAAGGTTGCTTCGTTAAAGGAGACCCTGGTCCATAACTGCCACATGCCTGGAATATAGGCTAAACTGCTAAATCAGACTCACTCACTCTAAATCATGCGAAAATAGGTAGCAACACTAAAGGAATCATATTCAAATTGTTTATTTCTGTCCAATCACTGACAGCTGTAGGATACACATACATCAGACATCAATGACATGGATCTTCATTGGTACAAATAGGTCATATCAACAGTCAATTCAAATAGATATACATGTCCTGTACAAACCAAGGCCATTTTGCATTCTCAGTCAGGATAAGGCTGAACACACGGTGCAATCACAAATATATGTATGTGTGCATGAATGTATGTGTGTGTATGTATTTATGTATTATGTATGTGTGTATGTATGTATGTGTATATATGTATGTATGTATGTATGTATGTATGTATGTATGTATGTATGTATGTATGTATGTATGTATGTATGTATGTATGTATGTATGTATGTATGTATGTATGTATGTATGTATGTATGTATGTATGTATGTATGTATGTATGTATGTATGTATGTATGTATGTATGTATGTATGTATGTATGTATGTATGTATGTATGTAGGTGTATATACTATTATATATAAACAGGAATGTGTATGTCATATATATGTAAACATGTTAATTATCATACATTCCTAAACTAATATCTTTAAGAAAATAATGTCATCAAAATTTTCATTTGTATATTGCAATCAAACTTTTGACATTGTTTTGCATATCAATTATGTAATTTCACCTACGTTCATGAGATCCCAAATGACACATGCTTTCCTTACCCTGGTCAAGACATCGTCTTTAATGCACTGTGTGATATAGTGGTGGTGAATATATACATAATTATGATATCTGAACCAATTTATACATTATAGCTCAATAACAGTAATGTGTGAGAAATGTCTGAGGGTGACTGAATGTAAGGGAATCGTTTGATCAGCATTCTAGAAGTTGGTGAGGAAATAACAGAGCATAAAACTCAATAGATACCAATGCTTGTTTATTAGATGGGCTGACTTATATTTGATTTTTAATTAACTCAGTTTCACATTTAACTTGATAATGGTGTAAGACTTTACACTGAAAATTACTCAATCAAATAAGAAGATGTTATCCATAAAGTTGTATACTTTTCTAAAAGCAAGAGGATGTTAAATTTGAGACGTCTATTTCACTGTCATGAAAATCAAAACTCATAATTGTTGATTTACAAACTATTAGAAAAGGATGACATGAGCAACGCAATACAAAATTTGTATCATACTGGTGACACAGGTGAACTGTCCAGTGAACATATCCTTCAATTCTTCAAATGAAATACTTGGTTTAAATGGAATCTGTTATTTGATTGTCGCATAGTTTAAAGCTCAAAAGAAAGTACATATTGATTCACAAAAGTTATCCTGAATGATAATGTATTCTCTTGCAATTATTTTCCAACAGCTGAATAGTTTCAGGTTTCCATACATACACTGTACAACTACTGTGAGCTTTTAAAAACCAACCTTCATTCATGTTGCAAGTCAATCAAAATATTCTAATATCATTGGTAAACTGCACAACATGTCATGTGTCACTTCCAACAAACTTAAACTGAACATCTGTGGTAAGATGACACGTATCTCCAACCACGATTCCAGATCAGAAGAGCTCCTCAGTACCTTCTTCACATTGTTTGAGTCAGTGAGTTGGGTTTGAACAGCATTCCAGTCATATCACAATATGTCTGCTTGAAATGGGCTTCACACATTGTACCCATGAAGGGATTCGAACCGATGTCTTCGGCGTGGAGAGGCAACGCTTTAACCACTAGGCTACCCCACTGCCCCCAAACAGGAAACTAATCATGGACCTATACCACTTGGTGAAACCCTTCACATCACAGTTCTCTCCATCATTCTCTGTCACAAGGACAAGCTGCAGTTCCATTGTCATTTAACAACATGACACTCATTTCTAACTCCCTTCTCCAACAATTGACACAATGACCTAAGTCGACTGTCCTGTAGGCATCCTGTTCAAAGCCCTATACATAAAAGGGACCACTGCTCACCAAGAAAGTCTTGGAAGTGATCCACATTAAAAAGGGTTAGTTACCTACTGTCATATCACAACAGGTGACACAGATACTTAAGTTGATTGTCCTGTAGACATCCTCTTCAAATCCTCATACATACAAGGGACCAGTGCTCTCCAGTCAGCCTTTGATGCAATCCAGATTGCAACGTGATGATGTCTATATTTTTTTGCATTAGCAAAAGATAAAGTAGGAAACACTATGAAACACTGGTATGCAAGTCGGATAGTAATGTCATCCTCCAGTTCCTAAAGTGAGAATATCATGCCTTTGAGGTATATTATTCATAGAGCCATCCTGGCAAAAGTTCTATGTTCCAACACTTTAAACACCCACATATCCCCTACAAAAGATGTCATGTAGTTTATAAAACATTGTGTTCTGGTAAAGATCTTGCTCAGTACTTAACCACAGCAATATGTCCTCTTCACTTTCTGTCTGTGTCCCGTGTTTTGGCATCCATGATGAACACCATTCACTAAGCACAATAAAAGTCTTGTCAATGATTTTCAGTAAACTGTACTGTATCTAAATCCCCTGCTGAACAAGTTCTATGCCTCCTGCATATTCACCCCAGACTGAGTGTTTCAGTTGAGCCATGCAGGTCTTCACAGGTACTGTGTCCATACTAAATGACATAATGGCAGTCAGTCCAGGTTCCAGCAAGATATTCATGCCCATCAATGCGTCACACAATGGTCATCACCATTTGTAATTCTGTCCATTGGGAAAGCTTCTCTTTTGTCCTTAGTCAGCACTTTTTACTTTTGACTTAGTTTCCTGAAGTACTTCCTTCTCTGCTTCGTTTTCTTCCTTGGCTTTCTCAGCCAGTTCCTTCCATTTGTTTAAGTTTGCTCTGGAAGGGAATATTAAATATCTTTTACATTTCTAACAAATATTGCATTCATGCCAAGGTGCAATAAATGGCTACTTTCAAAGATTGTATATGTCTTAATTCTTTCCCAAACATATAAACCAAAGCTTCACTTTGTACAGAACAGATTCTTAGCGTAATACTATTAATGACAAACAATTTGAGCCAAGTGTGTCATAAAGACATATGTATTACCACTATTAAGCTGCTGTCACAGGTTTGTTGAGAACAGAAGAGACTAACCTTATTCCATCAACCATTGGTGTTGTCTCGGGAAGAATCTGGGCCAGCAACTCATAACAGGGCAAACATATTCCAACAATGAAGCCCACCTAGAGATAAAACATCATATATTTAGACCTTACGTGTAGCTGATGCAGTGTGAAAATTCAAAATGTGCCATCAGGGGATACTTGGTCTCAATTTTCTGTAGGATCAGGTTTCATAGGGACTAATAGGCGAATGATTGATGGAAATCATAGGAATAGATTGCTGGAAGGAGTGATAACACCAGGGCCCATTCCTCAAAGCGATCGTAGCACTACGACAGTCGTAAGTCTATGTTAAAGTATGGGAGTTACGATCATCTTAGTGCAACGATCGTTTTGTGGAACGAGTCCAGGTGGTTGTTGGTAAACATCTTTTGTTCAACTGGTTGCACTTCCTAAAAAGGTGTTTTTTTGGTGACCTAAAGTCTGACACGGTCTTACTGAAACAGCCATAAATTCAAACTGTGAACCTGCTCCAGTCATACAATATGACTGAAATACTGCAGGGCCCCGTTCCTCAAAGCAATCGTAGTCGTAAGTCTAATTGTTAAAGTTACGATCAGCTTAGTGCTATGATCGTTTTGAGGAACGGGGCCCTGTTATGGTTAAACATTTCTCAGCTCACCTTCTCCAAACATAAAAATATGGCACAAATACTACAGACATGGAATTCATCTTCAGTCAAACAAAATGGCCCACATATTGCTGACATGGCTATAAATCACTCCTCCCCTTCTCACACTCAACATGGCAATGACATTGAGCTCACCTCAAGCTGAGGCAGTTCATCTTTCTTGTCCCGATCCATCATTGCCATTGGGGTCATGCCCTGTTCCTTCTCCTCATCTCCCTACAAGGTCAAAGGTCAAGGTCACCATATTGAAACTGTAGAGCATCACATCACATGCATATAAGTGTTTTTGTTAAAACTTTAAAAAAATTTATCACTTCAGGCTGAAAAATGTGTTTATGATGATAATGGCCATATTACAGTTTACTTTCTTAATTTAAACAGAAATTATAGCACATTTCATGATCACAATTGCAAATCATAAAAAAAGTTGAGTTACATTTGTTAATCAATGAAGAATCTTACAATAATTATAACAAGAATGTCTAGGCTGATTATTTATAAGTGTAAGTGTATGTTATAGGCACTTAAATTGTTTACCTATACAATAACTATCTACAAACATATTTCCAGCAGTAATCCTGGACAACTTAGTATCTCTACAGTGAAGTTCCTACTGAGGACTGAGTAATGAAGACAAACAGGACACCCAGAAGATGACAGATAGAGAGAAATAATTAAAAAACATCACACAAAGAAATCCAAGAAAACAGCAGGCAATAACCTGTGAGATTGGACTATATTCACATGGAGCAATAATGTAGTAAACAATTAGCCTTCATTAACTTATCACTTGACGGATGACAGATCTCAATTAATATTTTGTTTGTTTGTTGATTAATGCTGCACTCTGCAATATTCCAGCTATATGAAGGTGGTCTGTAAATAATCGAAAAACCAAGTTAGTGAACCTAACCACCTGATCCTGTTAGTAACTTCTTATGACAAGCATGGGATGCTGAAGACCAATTCTACCCTGGACCCTCCTTGGTTCTCAATTAATACAGCATGTGATGATTCATTTAACTACTGACAGACTGTTTCCTGGTTGATGACAACTTGACAAGGTGTAATTTTGATATTTATGATTCCACAGTACTGACACCATCAATGCAGCTAATAGAACTAATGTCCTAATAGACAAGTACTCTTTACTTTTTAAAATAATTCATTCTTATACAAACCATTTCAAAAACCATGTAGGTATCAGTTGAGGATTCATTTATAAGCTTATACCACAACATTTTCCCATTTCCCTGATGAAATAAAACTTCAAATCACAGTACAATGTTGCAGGCATAAAGTGATACTTCCCTAACAACTTCTAGTACAAGCTACATGATTGTGCCTACACACACTGCAGTACTATCACAACAGTGTCTGATCTACATCACAATAATTACAACGTCCCGCACTGAAACTATTGCAAAAATGGAATATGGTTTTGGGAACTAGAATTGATTGAAATTAATGTGAAATATTGTGAAATTTGAGCCAAGTTCCAGAATGAGACTTCTAGTGACCTTGACCTTGCAGAGGTGACCTTGACCTCACCAATGGGTTCACATTCACTAGGTTTTGACCCGTAACTGATACTGAGTAACCTTTATCTTCAAGGTTATCCCCAAAAATTCAGAATTAGTTAAAAAATCTCTATCATCTGGTTTTCAATTTCAAGGGAACTGCCTGAAAGGTGGCTGCCTTATGCTTCTGCTAGAGTAGAAACAAGCAGTTAGTTTATTAACACATTTGCTTTATATAATATATAGGAATTAAATAAAAAGGGGAGTTAGGAGTTCCCAGTAAATCAGTTTATCCTGGCAGTAAAACACCTGACCAGAAAATCTGTTTATCATTGTAGTACAAGAAGTTCCCAGTTAATCTGTTTATCCTGGCAGTAAAACACCTGCTCAGTAAATCTGTTTATCATTGTAGAACAAGAGGTTCCCAGTTAATCTGTTTATCCTGGCAGTAAAACACCTGCTCAGTAAATCTGTTTATCATTGTAGAACAAGAGGTTTCCAGAAATCTTTTTATCATTGTGATAAAAGACCCTCTTTTGAGGGCTAGACCTCCTCAGGAAGTCTGTTTATTACGTTGTTGTAAGACCTTCCAGTTAAACCTGATGTTAAATGAGTGCTGGTTGCTCCCTAGGTTATTTCATCATAAGAATGGTGGCTGGAATGTACAATGTTAGATACTGAACTGTCATAAATGTTAGTACGGGTTAGTAGAACTCATATATCGACCAAGGGTTCCTACCTGTTGCCAAAACTCTTCCATAATGACATAAACGAGGTTAAGCTGCGTATCCCAGGGCTTATACATGGCACAAAGGTCACACGCGGTCATGGAAACAGTCATTAGCATATGTCTGTAGATTGAGAGAGATGTCCACATAGTCACACTAGCCACAAAGTAAGCACTAAAACACCAGACTTGTCTCTACATACCTCACTCCTTACTGACTCTGAGGAGTACTACTGTATGGTGTGACCCTTTCACCACCTGGGTGTGGGTTCGAATCCCATAGAACTCAACCCAACAAAAGTACTAGAATCCCAAGTGTAATCCCAAATATAACATATGTTACTTTCACCACCAGTTGTACAAAACAAAAGGTTTCCAGGTTCTTTTGCATGTGAACAAATGTAGAATTCTACTTACCTTGTGACAGTAACTTATAGGTATAATAAACTGATTCTTTATTATTATAAATGTGTACGTAATAAGCACAATTTAGTGTATTTTTAAAAAAATTCTGTAACTATGTTATCTAATGTGTAGTATATGTAGAGACAAGTCTGAGAGTTAACAATAACATATCTGAAAAAAAAAAGTTGAATTAAGGCTTTACATCACACATATTCCAATGGACAAAACCCCCACAAAATGAATAGAAAATCATCAATGGAAAGGTATACACTACAATCATCTATCACCTTCATGGGCGGATCCAGGATTATGGAGAAGGGGCGTTGCACATAAATTATAAGTCCAAAGGTTAGGGGGAAAATTTGGTGGGGAGAGGGGGGTGGGTTTGCACACCCCACCTCTGGATCCGCCCCTGACCTTGAATACAGCAGTACAGAATGGGTCCAGCTCTATGTATGAGCTTCGTGAGAACGCTTCATGACTGACTCTGAACCATTGTGTACAGCAGACGCAACATTATTGCTTGTTTCCTGAGGATTCATTGGCCATATCATCTTCAGGTCGGCCATGTTGTTGTTAGTTGTATTCAAGGGTGATATGAACGAAGCGTATAGAGTTAAAAATATTATCAGATCAATGAAATATGTTAACACATTTATTCATTTTTGTATTTTTCAAAATTATGGTCTTTGGAATAAATGTGATGTTCCTGACACGGTACAATCCTCCATTGCTTACTACTAACTCAGACAGTTACAACTGATTTCATCTACAGAACTCATGATAACAGCCAAACACAGATGAAGAAATATCTGGCAAATCCTTATGAATGTCATTTACTTATATCATTACAGAAGGATCAAGATGCTGCATCTAAAGAACATTCAAAACTTTTGAAAAAAAATAACAATTAAATAAATACTCCAAGGCGGGCCAAAATATGTTCAAAAGAAAATCAAGAAATTGAAATAGGAATTGAATAAACAAAAATATTAGGGTTGATACTTAAAATAATGTGGAGTGCTATATGCATTAAAAGGTTTAGGTGAATTTGAAATGTATATTTTCATTTAAAATAGTTATAGTTTTAAAAAAAGTAAGAAAAACACTAGACAAAGAACAAATGTAAAACTACCCAGCATATTCAGAAATGCAGTGAAAAACACTAAAAACAAAGTGCACAATACAAAAAAAACAAAAGCAAAACCTCATGCATGAATACACCCTCTAACAGTTTTCCTAGGACTGTTGATGAGCACTGCTAATATATCTGCCATGCATACACAGGCTGAATACAATCAGCTGATACAGCCAAGACATCTTCACACTCTGTAGAAGTCACCTGTGCATAAAACTCCTCATAAATGACCTTGACTGTTTCCGCCTGAACCTCCCATGGCTTTGTCATTGCACAAAGGTCACACGATGTCATGGCAATGTCACGTAACACCCGCCTAGCGTGTCAGGGAAAAATAATAATTGAAATTGAACAGAGCTATTTAGTAGACTGTGCATGACATTAAGACGTTCACATCAGAGACTCCTGCAGCTGAATACCTCTGGGTTTATGAAAATACTTATGTGAAGTTGACACAAAATCCCGCCTTTTGACTGAATCACATTCCAGTCATATGGACATGAAATTGACATTCACAACCACATTATTGGCATATTTTTAGGTTCATATTTATCATAAATGGTCACATTGTACGAATGATGGATTCAGCACTTGGTTTTTGTCACATTCCCACTGATACTTGTGGGAGCTGTGACACAGTTAACTACAGAAGCACAGATCATAACCTTATATCAATTTATCCTTGACAAAAATGTCTTTTAAACTTTGAAGAATTACTTACGATCACATACTCTGTAAAACAACCTCTTCACCATGATCTCTCCAATAGTGAATGGAATGAATGAGTTTGGTTTCATTGCCCATGTTAAGCTATTACAGTTCTATCATGGCATGTAAGCTAAGTGTGCCTTAAGTGATGCTAATCAGATGTTTACACCTTTGGCGAAACCCTTGAGCACAGGTATGGTACTGATAAACTGGAAACATAATCAACATGAGCCAGGATATGAACCCATGATCATTGTTTCCTAGTGCGCCCAAGGGAGGCAATTCCACACAGAATTACTGCACCATAGACAACTAGGCTGGGTGTGATTCCTTGAATGAAATGAATGAATTCCCTTATCCAGTCTCCTAGATATTGGCACATTGGACCCAAACCACATGGATCTGAAGCTCATGGTGAGTTTTTAAAAATATTTCCTACATTTAAAACATAAAAGGATCTACAAGAATATATATATATGAAAATAACTTTTTCATACAAAACACAAAAACATGACTAACTTCAAATTGTATCCTGCATTCCGCATTTTGAGACTATGCTCTTTGTTTTGCTTTTTTTGTATAACATCTAGGCATTTCATGTTTGCTTAGGAACATCTCCATAAAGTAAATATGTGAATCTATGTGCTTCTGTTAAAATAGCTGAAGATGGTATTGACTGAAACATGATAAAAAAGCTGATGTCATGTGCCACACAATGTCAACAAACAACACACGACCAATAATCAGTGATGCTGGATGAGTCGGATACAATGTTTACTCAGGTCATGTGACTAGAGACCAACTTCCCGGAGACGATAGGTTCTTCATGAGAAACCTATCTTTCCATATGCAGTGGAACACTGTCCAAAACATCAACACCACATGCTTTCCACTGTTTCTGGAGACCGGTCCTTTCAGTATCCAGTGGAACGCTGTCCACCACCTGCAGGTTGCTAGGTAACATCTTGTACTGATTCCATGCTCTGATGATCATACTTTGGCTGGCATAAAAGACATTGGCAGCATGACATTGTGATGACCCAGTTTCAAACATGTCTATGCGTCTGCCTCATTCTTCGATCATCATACAACATCTCTAATGCTGAGGTGGAATAAAGGGCATTTCCTGGATGCAATCCTCAGTAGCATATGTTGTCATGCCCTCTGATAATGATGTGCAACGATTCTGTCACAATATATGCAAACATTGGTTTGCAAGTACATCATGACTGACTGCATGCATTTCTTCATGCATTTCTTCATCATGGAAAGTAAGATCCTGTGCGGGCTACCCAATCTTTGTGTACTTGTTGGATCATCATCAAAACTTGATCCTTATCAAACATATAATACTGGAATATATATAGTGATATCGAACATATTGAACACCAGTCTATAAATGTAACATTTGTTATATTTCGGATTACGCTTTCTTAGTAAAGCACAGATTCATGAGCTTTGGTTGGGTTGAGTCCCATCCAGGATTCGAACCCACACCCTCAGAGTCAGGCCCCTAATCACCAGCACACAAAGTCAGCCACCTAGACCGCTCAGCCAGCATGACTTTCAAGAAAGAGTAATCTCAAATATAACCTATGTTACTTTTGCCACTGTCTAAATGGCATTGTGTAATCAATCTATAAATGATTAAAAAGTGTATTTAAGTCTAGGATAAAGATTCTTTAAACATTTAGAGCTTGTAAAGAGTAACAAACAGCATCCTGAGAATACAGTACAGTGAGTCAGACAGACAGACTAGTGATGCCATTTGATTGTGATGTCATGGCAACAGAGATATCACAATGTTTGAAAAGTATTGCAATGCAGTTTCATTGTAGTGATATCCTATGCTATCCTCATCTAAGTGATATCTCCAGCGGAAGACTTTCTTGGATGATAAAATGCTCTGCCTGTAATGTTACATCGGACACTTATTCCATCACATAAACCTTTTATTTTGCTGTAAAATAAGGATATTTCATTTTTTCTGAGGACCCTTTCATATATCCTCTAAACATTAATTACCGTTATCAGAATATACTTAAAATTTATACATACCATCAACACACACAGATTTCACCTAGATATTGCATACGTTGCACATAATTCCATTGTTACAATCTAAGGTTAAACAAAAGCTCACTCAAAACAATCTACCTTTAGATGCCAGATATTATGGATGATTAAGTATAAATATTATAAAAAAATCATTTTTGACGCAAAGCAAACAATGGAGAGACTGCACAGCAACATATTAATGTCATGAACAAAGATGTTAAAATACCAATTCAAACACAATGCACCTGAGTATAACCTAAGCATATATGTAGTGACAGCTAAGAATATCCTTATTTCTCAAACAAGTACAACCAGTGCCAATACATAATTATGTGCATGAAATAACCAGAACAATTATACAAAAATATTTTTTATCATCAGGTTGCTGTCATAATAATTCGGTATGATGCCGTTACAGTTTGTGAGTTTACCTGTGCTCTTGTATCTCCCATGAAAAGTCCTTCCTTTCCACAATGTCCTTTAACTTGGCTCTGTTGCCAAAGAACAGTGCCAGGTCTGTTGCAAGAATGCAGTGCCTGATGTCTCCAAGAACCTGAAATGGCAGCATGAATATTGGCTGAAATATCGATTCTTGGTTAGTCATGATACACCTACACCAAATATTAGTAACTTCTAAATTCTAAGCTTTCTAAAATTAGCAAATTCTCCATTCTCTATGCAGCCCAGCTAGAGTATTAAATTTCTTCATGTTCCAAGCAGCCCAGCTATATTACTAAATTCTCCATGCTCCCTGTGTCTTCGCTATATTTTGATAAGATGAAGGGTCCATTCGTACAGTGCATAAACATACATGTAACTTCTCAGAGAGGGGAGGTGGGTAGCCTAGAGGTTAAGGTGTTCCCTGGTCACACCGAAGACCAGGGTTTAATTTCCCACATGGGTATAATGCATGAAGCCAAATTCTGGTGTCCCCTGCTGTGATATTGCTGGAAAATTGCTGAGAGCGCCGTAACTCTAAACTCACTCACTCACTCACATCTCAGAGGTCATCTTACCTTCTTGTACTCTTCTGAGGAAAGGTGTCTGAAGATGTTGTGGCCTTCATGCTGCAACAGTTAATTCCAGTGTCACCATCAAATACAAGCTGACACAACAAGCTGACACAACAGACTGACCATGTAGGAGGATACATATACTGAGGGAAACAAATAAGGGAACACATGGAAGCACACATGTTCCTTTATTCTTTTCCAGGTTTCTTCACAAGCTTTGTATTGCACTGTAGGTGAAAATCTGATAATATAGGAACACTGCGATGATGTGGTGTTCCCTTATTTGTTTCCCTCAGTATATTTATGTGGTTTACAGCATTATGTAAGATATGTGTTCTATTTTCTCACGTGACCAATGACTAACATTAAAAGTTGTAAGTTGACCTCGAGGTACTAGTATTCAAGGTACAATGTTCTCTCTGTGTAAGCTACAGGACCCCATCACACAAGGTACATCATATCATATCATAGTGAACAATGGGCTTACTGACATTCATTCATTAAAGTTCCAGAACCTATGTCCACAGTTTCAGAGTTTAAGCATGACTGGTAACAGACAACATAAATGAAGCAAGGAACTTCAATTCACCCTATGAATTCAAAGACATTAGTTCATTTCGGAAACTCAACAATATTATTGCAAGTAAGCAAGTTATCAAAGATGTGTTCAGATCTCTCAGTTGGCTGTACAAATGTCTCTAAGCTACATGATAAATAATTTCCCACTCCTAAACCAGTGAAAAGCTGATATCCTAATGTAATGTAAGATAATGAGGTTTTCATAATGTGGTACTCCCAGTGAGCTAGTTACCTGTAGTATTGCCACTGTTTGGTTGAAGTGATGATGTTCCATGGTGGAGGTGGAGTAGATTGCTGCCAAGGGAGATGCACTCTTCACCATGAAGGCGTTGGTTTTCCCGCGATGATCCAAGTCGTGACACAAGCATGCCACAAACAGTGCAAGGCTCTGAAATACACAACACATATTGGAACTGATCGTTAAAGGTCACATGCAACCAAAAATCAAACATAATTAAAACACAATTATCACTTATTCATGACATATAATATACATTGCTGGTTATGAAAAAACATATAAACAAAATTATAAGCGTACAATCGCAAATCAAAAGTGCAATATTGTGTACTTGGGTTTACTTCCCAAGAAACGAAGCAGCCGGGATACCGAACCCAGTCAGAGCGGGTGGTGTGCACTCAAGTGTAACGGACTCCCTCACGGCTCATTGTGTGTGTATATATAGAGATGTTGGGTTTTGTAAATACATGCTCATTTTTTGTGTATAACATTTTGCAATCAACAGACATCATAACATGTCATGTGTTCAAGTATCACACCTGCCCGTCTGTGTAATTACATAATGTGACAGAGGTTGGAAATCTGAGAACACAACTCTGTGAGGAAATGAGTGTCTACCTTTGATGATGGCCATATTTTATTTTGATATTAAAAATATTTTTCGAACCGAAGCGAGGGAAGCACGTTGCCAACCTTTGCTTGCTTCGCTCGCATATGGGTAGACTGGTCATTTTCTCTTTGTTGTGCAACCCTATTTGCGCTACAATTTGCCTGTGCCTAGAGTCATATTGAAGTCAGGTGACAGGCATATTATGTTTCATGCTAGTGCAGTAGCCATACACAGTTAATGAAAGGAATATGAAGCTGACTGAAGTGGAGAACACTGCTGTCCTGCCCTACCAGCTTAGCAGTTATAATACATGTCTGGTGAGAAGAGGTCTGAAACTGACTGACCACAGTTAGTGGTCCTGTCCTACCACCCTGCTGGTATGGTTGTGACACATGTTATCATTACACACTGTATATGAGACAAGGTGTTGAAATGACTGACCTCAAGTGGTCCTGTCCTACCACCCTGCTGGTATGGTTGTGACACATGTTATCATTACACACTGTATATGAGACAAGGTGTTGAAATGACTGACCTCAAGTGGTCCTGTCCTTCCACCTTGCTGGTATGGTTGTGACACATGTTATCATTACACACTGTATATGAGACAAGGTGTTGAAATGACTGACCTCAAGTGGTCCTGTCCTACCACCCTGCTGGTATGGTTGTGACACATGTTATCATTACACACTGTATATGAGACAAGGTGTTGAAGTGACTGACCTCAAGTGGTCCTGTCCTTGGTGCTGGTATGGTTGTTCCATGACACATGTTATGGTTGTGACACATGTTATCATTACACTGTATATGAGACAAGGTGTTGAAATGACTGACCTCAAGTGGTCCTGTCCTACCACCCTGCTGGTATGTATATGAGACAAGGTGTGACAAGTGGTCCATGTCCTATCAGTGCTTATGGTTGTGACACATGTTATCATTACACACTGTATATGAGACAAGGTGTTGAAATGACTGACCTCAAGTGGTCCTGTCCTACCACCAGTGCTGGTATGGTTGTGACACATGTTATCATTACACACTGTATATGAGACAAGGTGTTGAAATGACTGACCTCAAGTGGTCCTGTCCTACCACAGTGCTGGTATGGTTGTGACACATGTTATCATTACACACTGTATATGAGACAAGGTGTTGAAATGACTGACCTCAAGTGGTCCTGTCCTACCACCCTGCTGGTATGGTTGTGACACATGTTATCATTACACACTGTATATGAGACAAGGTGTTGAAGTGACTGACCTCAAGTGGTCCTGTCCTTCCACCTTGCTGGTATGGTTGTGACACATGTTATCATTACACACTGTATATGAGACAAGGTGTTGAAATGACTGACCTCAAGTGGTCCTGTCCTACCACCCAGTGCTGGTATGGTTGTGACACATGTTATCATTACACACTGTATATGAGACAAGGTGTTGAAATGACTGACCTCAAGTGGTCCTGTCCTTACCACCTTGCTGGTATGGTTGTGACACATGTTATCATTACACACTGGTATATGAGACAAGGTGTATGAGACAAGGTGTTGAAATGACTGACCTCAAGTGGTCCTGTCCTACCACCACCTGCTGGTATGGTTGTGACACATGTTATCATTACACACTGTATATGAGACAAGGTGTTGAAATGACTGACCTCAAGTGGTCCTGTCCTACCACCATGCTGGTATGGTTGTGACACATGTTATCATTACACACTGTATATGAGACAAGGTGTTGAAATGACTGACCTCAAGTGGTCCCTGTCCTACCACCATGCTGGTATGGTTGTGACACATGTTATCATTACACACTGTATATGAGACAAGGTGTTGAAATGACTGACCTCAAGTGGTCCTGTCCTACCACCATGCTGGTATGGTTGTGACACATGTTATCATTACACACTGTATATGAGACAAGGTGTTGAAAATGACTGACCTACCACAAGTGGTCCTGTCCTACCATGCTGGTATGGTTGTGACACATGTTATCATTACACACTGTATATGAGACAAGGTGTTGAAATGACTGACCTCAAGTGGTCCTGTCCTACCACCATGCTGGTATGGTTGTGACACATGTTATCATTACACACTGTATATGAGACAAGGTGTTGAAATGACTGACCTCAAGTGGTCCTGTCCTACCACCATGCTGGTATGGTTGTGACACATGTTATCATTACACACTGTATATGAGACAAGGTGTTGAAGTGACTGACCTCAAGTGGTCCTGTCCTACCACCATGCTGGTATGGTTGTGACACATGTTATCATTACACACTGTATATGAGACAAGGTGTTGAAATGACTGACCTCAAGTGGAGTGAACTGGTGGTCTGCCCGCTTGATGACTGTATACATGGAGTGAGCCACCGAGAACGCATGAACCCAGTTGTGGTAGGGTACATTGCGGTAGTTTTTCCGCACAGTCAGGGTGAACCGAATCAGAGCATCGGTGTCAAACCTGTAAAAATTTGAATTATTTGAAAAAAAGTCTATGTTAAAAAAACCAACAATGTATTGCATGGGTATAATAATAATAATAATAATGTGTCCATTAATATAGCACCAAACTCCACACCAGGTATGGTCACAGAATCATATGCTAATCTGGTATGTGGAATCATATAGGTACTAGTGAATACTGCACCAGAAATGTGTACTCTTTACGAAACAAAAAGACAAAAGATTCAACAAATGGAATCAATATTCTTGACAAACACATTGTAAGTAACTACAAAGAATGATTTAAGATATTTATTTCAGTTTCAGGAGAGTGACACAGTGCTGTGACCATGTTCCCTTAGTATTCGATTGTCAATGTGATGTAAATTTTACAAGTCCTGGAATGAAGACGCCACATATTGCATAAACAAAACTGAAAGCCTGTGATGGACAATAATTTGTGGTGAGAAATGAGAATGAAAAAATCTTTGGAACCAAATGCAAAATTTTGACAGACTTATTTATCACTTTCCAAAATTGTATTCAAATGCTGGTCCACACTCAAGTAAGTTTAGAAGTATTTTCTTCTGATGATAAAAAGTCATTCTGAATAAAAGTGTTGGTATTTTTGTATGTCATTTATAATACAGGTTAATATTTCTATCATTCTCTTAATTTCACAAACGTGGAATATAATTAAAATTTAACAAAATATATCTCTTCCTTTCCTTTCTATCAATAGATGCTAAATCATTTCAGTAATCCATAACTACTTCAATGAAGGTCCCGGAAGTAACAACAGCTGTTTAAAAACACTTCTTCATTTTTAAAATTCAATTTATCAGTAACCGAAATAACTTGAGGCAACTACTATTCAAAATACATATTTCTAAAATTTTATTGAGAAATCTATTTTGATCATCAATCAACACGTTCAATAAATCTGAAGGCCAAGTGATTAAAAAAGACGTCGAAGGGACGGACAATTTGATATTCTATTTGTGAGAAGCAGGGAGATGAGAGGCAGGAGTGAAGATTGATTCTTTGAAAATAATATATTTTGTTATACAAATTATAATTTACAAAAACATATCTTTTCTCAGGTTTTGGTGGGTGTTGTGAGAAATAAAGTTGATTATACGCCCAAAAATGCATAAAATATATTTGTCTTCATTTTTTACAGGGCAAAAGATTGGATGTATTGATCAGCAGCTAAACTTCAGTATCCCCAAACCCTCCAAGAATAACAAATGGTCAGTCCCTGAATATCTAATACACTAAGGTGGTCTACAAGCTCTAAGGACATTAGTTCTATAAGCTGTAATGACAGTTGAAAAGCTCTAAGGAAATACAGGACATACTATCATCACTACACTATCAACATCTACGGGGGTTGTGATTGAATTCTTTTGACACCATAACATGAATTTTTGAAATTTAAAATTATATTTGCTATAAGCACAAGAATAAGAATCCACAAATGCTGAAAGTAATTTTTGAGCCAGTTTGTAATAGTTTGGTTAATTTGACAGTGTAGATAATGAAAATATGAAAGTATGAGAGTGAGTGTTTGCATTTGAAGTGCATCGATTATGTTATGCAAAACAGAACGTCCTACAAGTACAGAATCATTGTAAAGCACATTTAATGGTGTAAGAAAAAACAGTAACTTGTAAACAGATGACAAAGAACAAAGCTGAAAGACAATGATAGTTGCAGTCAACCTATTATCTTTCTCAACAAAAACAATAAGTACAATGAATGCCTACAGGAATATTTTTATGAAATTGTATGATCAGTCTTCAACATAAAGTAAACATCACACCAAATATTTATGATCCGTAAATGTTGTATTATTCAAAATTAGTTTGCGAACAATTCACTTCCAGGTTTCCATATCTTTCTTTATTGTTTGTTTGTTGCTTAATGCAACTCTAAGCAATATTACAACTACACGTATATGACAGCGGTCAGTAAATAACAAATATTTTCAAATCCTAGTTAAATCCTTGAATATGCATTGAAGCAGGAACATAATATCATAGTGATACTTTATCACTCTCGCATTAACAAATATCCAATCGTGGTTCAATCGTCAGTGTAGTATGATGCAAAGATGGAAACCTACTATCCACAATGACAGTATACTTTAAGTACTAACCATACTGCTATATCTATCTATCATAAGGCACCAAGCATGGAGGAAGAAAACAAGTGTCATATCTATATGCAAAGAACGGAAATTCCAGAAAGAAGGTTGGTAATACAATGACAACAATGTTCAAACATCAGTGGCGAAAGATTGCTTCCAACTTCCTGTTATCACTGAACATATAGGTGAATTTAGATCCAGTACATTGAATGAACGATTGGTATGCAAAGAATCAAAGACAACCAATCAGCAGTACCTTTATCCAATGCTTACTCCCATCACAACAAAAGTGTCTTGAAGCCCTCACTCCCTTGTCACCCCTCTCCCTACATGAGTGAGTGAGTATGGTTTTACACCACTTTTAGCAATATTCCAGCAATATCATGACAGGGCACACCATAACTGGGCTTCACACAATGTACCCAGGTGGGGAATCGAACCCAGGTCTTCGGTATGACGAGTGGATGGCTTAACCATCAGCATCAGAGCTGTACACTGCTAACATATATTTTAAGAATCCTCTCAATGTTATTATAACTTTCCTTGACCTCAAACAGCCATTCTTTCTGGAACTTCCTATGATGTTAGGGCAAGAAGCAGCTGAAAGCCTGAGCTGAAATAAAATTAATTGCTGAATTCTATTTGAGCAAACAAATTTATGACTTTCTTGTGAATTTCTTATTGACTAAGTATTATTTATGAATTTTAAAACACATTTTAATAAAAGCAAGGTGAGCTAGCTAATGAGAAAAAAGAATTCACAGTAGAGGTAATGATTCAACATAAATTCTCAAATGCAAGTGTTTTTTAACTCATTGTTAGATTTAGCTGTGGACCAACTATCAATACAATTCAATTTTGAAAAAAGAAGAAAAAAAGTTCTTCATGAAACCTTTCTAAAACAGGGAAAAAATCCCCGTCATTCATAATTAAAATATATGTGTGAATGTAACAAGCAATAAACCTAACTCCAACCTTGATACAGGGGAGCTAGTCCAACATAAAAGGGAGACTACTCATAACCACTGCTTCAAGCCCTTTTGTTAGTTGGTATAATTGACAGCTATCAGCATCCTCAAACCCCAGATGTAAGTTTTCCACAACCCATTCCACAGGAACAAACACTGTATAACTCTGATAATACTCAACAAATCAAATGTTTAACAGAGAGTCACATAGGAAAGGGGAATAACTCTTCTGTGAACTGTCCATATCTTAACAGTCATGTGAACAGATATGAAGGTACATAAACTGCTGGCCAAATTAAAGTATACGATTTCAATGGTGGCCAAAGTTGAAATAAACAGGAAATGATTTTTCAATGGTGATATGTTTTATTTTAGGTGAATTTTGGACCTTACGTTACTAGTATTTAGGAGTCTTTGTTTGGGCAATGGTTGTAGGTTTTGAGCCAAATTAAATTTTCAAGTGTATATCTTGTTTTGCTAGGTTGTTATGTTCAGCCATAAAAATGCTACAACTTTGTAGACTTAGTAATTGATGAAATTTGGGCAACGTCCTCCAGCAGATCCTATACTGACATGACATCTATGAAAAGAAGTATCTTCTCAATAATTCCTGTACTTGTGCCCGACCCTTTTGTCGTTTTGGACAATAAAATATGTTTAAACAATTCCCATGCTTACTAGTGATGTAGATGATCCATGGATGAAGGTTACCCATAGTTGTACCCAATATGTAACAAGTTATGGATACTTTGCACCTGAGTTTCAAGGATGAGCCAACAGATAAAATTTGCAAAAGCCTAGATGTGGTAAAAAACCCAAACATACACATGTCTTAAATTCTAGAGTAAAAGTAATGAAGTGAAAAGACTTAAAAGATAAGAAATATATTATATATAGACTGGATGACATCAGATACCTTTGATCACTGACAGAACTGAAAGACAAAGGTTGTGTAGACCAAGATTATGATGCAAATATATCAAGGCTGTATATAAGGCTGTGTGAGTCAATTAATGGCCTCCATTGTAGGTCGAGCCTGTGCCTGGAGAGTGGAAGTTCGGTGGTTAGATCTTGTAGATGGTAATTTTTGTTACCTTGCCTGGTGCAGTAATGGGGTAAAACTGGTTGGCTAGGAGTTAGTATAATGAGCCTGAGTAGGGAAACTATGTTAAACTGCAGCATGGTGTCCCAGTGGACCAAGGACCCGATCCGCAAAGTGTTCGTAATGTTATGACCTGTCGTAACTCTATACTTTATCATAGACTTACGAATGTCGTAGCGCTACGAACGTTTTGTGGATTGGGACCCAGCACTCTACAACCGGTGTAAGTCTGGGCCAGTACAAGCCAAACCCATATACACATATTGCTGTGTCAGTCAAGTATTCTTGAGCATGATGTTAAACCCTACAGTCAGTTTGATTTCATCTGAGACCGATGAATTGCTCACTAACACAAAATCTAATAAATGCAACAAAAACAAATTTTGCACAGTCACATGAAATCAACAGACCAACTCTCATTTTTCTCTCATAATTTTGGACACCTGAATAAAAAAGTTGTTTAACAAACGATCATTATTTTGTAGTAACTTTTTGCTATTTTTAACGAGGGGGGACCACTTGCTGGTAGAACAGCCAGGTATTAAATAAGCGTGTGTACATGTAGTTTAATTTCAATTTCACATGTGCAACTCGCATGGCCTGTCTGTTCTACTAGCAAGTGGTCCCCCCTCGTAAACAATAGCAAAAGTGAAAACAAAATAATGATCGTTTGTTAAACAACTTTTTTTTCGGGTCCAAAATTATGAGACAAATCATCAAAGTTGGTCTGTCGATTTCATGTGACAGCAAAATTTGTTTTTGTTGCATTTATTAGATTTTGTGTTAGTGAGAAATTCATCAGTTTAAATTGAAATCAAAGGGACTGTATCTCCGAGGATATATTGATCACACGAACTAGAAGAAACAGCAATGAGATAAACAATACATTAGTATTAAACATCATGTCTGCAAAATTCTAGCCATTTTATCAACCTGAGACTATCTGGTTCTGTCAATTTGTGTTGTGTTTGTTATGTAAACAAATGATACATTAGTGCACTAGATAAATGATGCATCAATTATTGTACATATGAAAACTCTCCACTTACAACGAATTACAATGAATATATATGTGGGCAAACTATACAAAACCCTCTCATGATTAACTGTTTCTCTATCTATTTCCATCTTCAGTTTGTTTAGTGATACATAGAACTCATATAAGGAGGAGTTTGCAAGGACTAGTTTCACAAGTCTAACAATTAGATCCGTTAACTAAGAAAGGTCACACACACTACTGTCTCCAAAATGTCAGCTGAAAGTCTACCAGGATCTGCCTAGAGTGCTTACCTCATTGTGCCAAACAGATCCTTGAACATGAAGAGAACATACACCGGCTTCTCATCATTGTCAACACCCCAAGGGGAATAGGTGTAACTGAAACAAGACTTGGTTGTCATTGATAATACTGGGAACATTTGTAACAGTAGCTGTAATCAATGTGCTGTAGGATCCATCCCAATATGCCCCTGTATCTGTCTCATTGTGCCCCAGTATTAGTTCCTATGTGTTGTAGAAGCCATCCCAATGTGCCACAGTATCAGTTCCTATGTGTTGTAGAAGCCATCCCAATGTGCCACAGTATCAGTTCCTATGTGTTGTAGAAGCCATCCCAATGTGCCACAGTATCAGTTCCTATGTGTTGTAGAAGCCATCCCAATGTGCCACAGTATCAGTTCCTATGTGTTGTAGAAGCCATCCCAATGTGCCACAGTATCAGTTCCTATGTGTTGTAGAAGCCATCCCAATGTGCCACAGTATCAGTTCCTATGTGTTGTAGAAGCCATCCCAATGTGCCACAGTATCAGTTCCTATGTGTTGTAGAAGCCATCCCAATGTGCCCCAGTATCAGTTCCTATGTGTTGTAGAAGCCATCCCAATGTGCCCCAGTATCAGTTCCTATGTGTTGTAGAAGCCATCCCAATGTGCCACAGTATCAGTTCCTATGTGTTGTAGAAGCCATCCCAATGTGCCCACAGTATCAGTTCCTATGTGTTGTAGAAGCCATCCCAATGTGCCACAGTATCAGTTCCTATGTGTTGTAGAAGCCATCCCAATGTGCCCAGTATCAGTTCCTATGTGCTGTAGAAGCCATCCCAATGTGCCACAGTATCAGTTCCTATGTGTTGTAGAAGCCATCCCAATGTGCCACAGTATCAGTTCCTATGTGTTGTAGAAGCCATCCCAATGTGCCACAGTATCAGTTCCTATGTGTTGTAGAAGCCATCCCAATGTGCCACAGTATCAGTTCCTATGTGTTGTAGAAGCCATCCCAATGTGCCACAGTATCTGTTCCTATGTGTTGTAGAAGCCATCCCAATGTGCCACAGTATCAGTTCCTATGTGCTCCACTCTCCACTTTTCCACCCTTCCTCTGCTTGCTCTCTTCTCTCTTTCTAATTGTGTGTTTCTAGGCTCTGTGTTCACCTTGTGGTTGAGGGGCAATAAATTGTGTTTCTAGGCTGTGTGTTCAGCTTGTGGTTGAGGGGCAATAAATTGTGTTTCTAGGCTCTGTGTTCACCTTGTGGTTGAGGGGCAATAAATTGTGTTTCTAGGCTCTGTGTTCACCTTGTGGTTGAGGGGCAATAAATTGTGTTTCTAGGCTATGTGTTCACCTTGTGGTTGAGGGGCAATAAATTGTGTTTCTAGGCTCTGTGTTCACCTGGTGATTGCATGCATATCATGAGGTACTTTTCTGGAGCGGATTGACCTCATTTCCTCCTCTGAACACTGACTATGGTAGGACAACACCTCCAGTGCCACCCTGTACTTCTGTTCTGAACGCCGAATCTTCTCATACAGCTGGAAAAGGAACATCAACATGATTATTATCATGAGTAGAGCAGCTAATATCTACCAATAAAAACATATCATTTTGTTCTGTTATACAAAGAAACCGTAATAATTATAATAAATATAAATATTTATATAATTCTATTCTAACTTAGGTATCAACTTGGTATTCTAGATACAGATGCATTGTTAATCATAGGTATGGCAATTGTGTAGTTCCTTCAGTTGCACTCTTTCCTTCAATTGCTCTTTCTCCACTTTCCCATCCTTCCTTCACTTGCTCTTCTCTTTCTCCACTTTCACAGACATTCCTTCACTTGCTCTTCTCTTTCTCCACTTTCACAGACATTCCTTCATTTGCTCTTCTTTCTCCACTTTCCAATCCTTTCTTTCACTTAAGTTACCAACACTGTACTCTCATTTGTTTGGTAATGCCCTAATTCATTTACTCCCAGTGTTTTCAGACATCCTCTCAACGTTCTTCCCCAGCATCCCACTTCACGCACCCTGTTACCTTTGCATGATGCAGTGCCAGTCCACAGTATATAGCAAAGGTTTCAAAGGCTTCCTCGTCTGCCCTGGTGAAAGGTCCACTCATCTTGTTTTCAGACACCATCTGAACCACTCCACCTTTGCATGATGCAGTGCCAGTCCACAGTATATAAAGGTTTACACCTGGTGAAACACTCATCACTCACCTCGATGACTGGACCACAAACCAGGTCACTGGATTATTTCAGACATACTGATCATGAACTCCGAAAGTATCTGGAGTATATACACCATCAGGCTATAAAGAGTGACAGAAATATTCTAGGCGAATCGCAACAAACTGTGAGCAACCAAGCCTGAGCCAGGCAAACCAGTGGTTGATAGTATGATGACCAGTCTCACCTATTCCAGATTTTTATGACTGGAATACTGGAGTGCTGGAGAACTATTGACCAATAACTCAATGCTCAACTGCTAAATTTGACATATCTTGTATGATACCAAATTCAATACCTGTGGAATATATCTATAATTAATTGAAGAAATATAGGATATTTATCTACAGGCATTAATATGTTTTTTCTTCTTCATGTTTTTATTGTTCCCAAGGGTGCACCGTTACACACCAGTTCATATTTTTGAGAGTTTGTAAGACAGAATTCGAAATTACACAAAAATTCACATTTTAGGGTTTTGACACACAGAGTCCAAAATTATGTACAGAATATAAAGTATAGGTTTATTGTTAAGTTGGGAATATAGATCACCATTTTGAGTCATGATTTTGAAGGCTATTATTTTTAATTGCAATGAACTTTTCCGCACTGAAAATTTCTCTCAAAACAACCAGAAACCTTTGAAGTTTTGGAGTATGTTGGTTAAGTCCACATAAATGGATATATTTTTTGGCAGTTAGGATAATATGATTTAATAGTCTATCACTGTATAATGTTCCAAACAAGGTATTTTGTTATTTTGATTGTGTTCTCAATATAATTATTCATCCAAAATTCAAGTTCATTCCAGAATGTTTGTGTTTCTCTACAGGTAGTATATTCAAAACATGCAAATTGTCCAGATATGTCCCTTTAATGCCATACATTTCCTTCATGCCATGCCATCATATACATGACCAATCTGTACCTGTACCAATCTTATCTTATGTTGAAACAAACGTGTCATAGAAAATATGCAAATTGGGCATCAAATGTTATGCAACTATTATTCACTTATGGTTTGGGGATACAGCAGGGGGTCTACTCCCATTTGTGAGACTCCCAGTTGTGAGACAGTGGAGTAGGTAATTACCAAAGAAAACACACCTTACTCCCCTATCTGATAGAATGGATTAACCCCAGCTAATTAGGGATTAGCTATTTAACTGAATGTGGAGGTAACTTAATGAAACTCTAGAAGATAAAGTAATTAACCTACTCAGATAAATGGCTTTAAAAAATAACACTTTGTGTAGGTAACTTCGTGATCATTTGAAAGAGAAATTAATTTACCTACTCAGATTTACGTCTTTGAAAAATCTAGCAATAACTGTTGTTACTATAATTAATCCCACTGTATTTATTAACCTTTGACTGCTCTTTCCGATCACCATTATGGCAGGTCTTCAACAAGTAGAATATATCACCAGTTCACGATAATCTTTTTCAGTATTTCAGTATCTATTGAAAACAATCAATGCTCTTCAACGAACAATGTCTTCTGTGTTGATTAACTCATTAATGAACTATGCCTCCTGCGGGTACTCTTCAGCAACAGGGCTGTTTCATTGTAGGGATGGGGAAGCACCACCTGTGTGCACTGAACCATTAATTAATGTGTCTCACAAATGGGAGGACACCCAGCAGGGAGTAGGTAATATTGATTTATTTTTAAAGCTATTAAAGGAAAGATTAATTGATTGTGCCAAGCAAGACTGGCATGCACAACTTACAAACAAAACCTCGTTACAGTTTTATTCTATTATTAAGTCATCACTTACTACAGAATTGTACATCTTTGACCTTAATAATATTAAATATCGTAAAGCACTGTTCATCTTCAGAAGCTGTTACAAGGCTAGGAATACAATGTATTAGAAAAGGTTTTTGTGATTATGAAAGCTTTGATTCTAAATGTGCTTTATGTAATGTAATGGAAGATGAAATACATATTTCATACAAATGTCCAATGTATCAAACTCTTCGTGATGATGTACCTCTTATTTTCAAGCACAGTAAAAATATCAATGGGTTAATATCTTTAATGAATTCCAATGATTATAAATTCATGTTAGTAAAATATCTTTACAATGTGTGTGCATTCAAGGAGAACTCCTTTGATACGCATGTGTATATATTTATGTATATTTAATGTACTGTATTATGGGTGAAACAATAAACACTAGATTGATTGATTGATTTCCTTCAACTTGTCAAAAGATAAGAAACCAGATTTTCACACAGATCCTTAATTGCAAGAATGCCTTTACTGCCCAGTTTTTATTGTAATGTGTTGGGTTCTTGTAATTATGGTTAAACCATAGTGGTTGGGCTAGGACTTCATAAATATTACCAGAACTCACATGACTTTTTTTACAATATTTGTTCCATGATTTGAAAACATCCTTCCAATAAGGGTTGTTGATTTGAGTTACTTAATCAACATTTGCACCAGATTTTAAAATGACATCAAAAGGAATATTACAGGAATTTTCAACTGTTGTTTTTCTACAATATGATCTCAGGGTAGCTAGTTTCAAGGCTTCACAGAAAGTTGCAGTGTCAACCATCCTTAATCAACCATTTCTGTATACTCTTTTCAAATTGTTCCTTTTGATTTTATCAGGTTTGTCATTCCATATGAATTTGAAAAAGATATTCTCCAATGAAGTAATGAAATCTTTTGGAGGATTAGGTAGAATATTGAATACATGAACAAGTTTTGACAAAGCCAAAGTTATTATGACAGTGATTTTGCCAATCAGTGTCAAGTGTCTTTTCCTTTGTGAAAGCAATCTCTTTATCTCATCTAGACTTTTTCTTGTATTGATTACCCACAAATTGTTAAGATCTGTGTGGAATTTAATTCCCGAGACTTCAAACACACCCTTGCCATTCTGTTTTAATGTCTTTACATAGTATATCCGTACTATTTCTCTTTGAGTCATTCCATATTGCTTTTGCCTTATCAATGTTTATTTTAAGTCCTGCCAATTTAAAAAAATAACTAATTACATCAATAGCAGCCTTTAAGCTTTGTTCATTCCCATCAAGAAATAGTTCCGTATCATTTGCATATTGGTTTAATTTATATTCATTATTGTCAATAACAATACCTTTTATGTTCTCATTACTTCTAATCATACAACCAAGTATTTCAGCGACACAAATAAAGAGATACGGTGACAGGGGGTCTCCTTGCCTGCATCCGCGTTCATTTACAAAAAAATCAGCGAGTTTACCATGTTGGATGACACATGATGTTGTTTCATATGTCAGTATATTTATCCAATGAGTGATTTCAGGACCAAAACCAAATTTAGATAAAACAATATTCAAGAACTCTTTGGATACTGTATCAAAAGCCTTCTCAAAATCTATTAGGAGAATTAGTCCTGGCATATTTCTTATTTTTAGTTTCAAACATATCATAAAGTAATCTTATGTTTTCACTAAAGAGTTCTACCTGGAATATAGCCTGTTTGATTAGCATGTACTAGGGTCTTGTGATACAAGTGCTAATAATTTTATAAATAACTTTCAATAAGGTAATAGGTCTCCAATTTTTCAAAAGTGTTTTATCTCTGTTAGCTTTAGGTATACAAGTTATTATACAGGCATTAAGTTGCCATCCATATACTCATCATGATCTTATATCTAAACTGGAATATCTGTAAGGATTCAAAGAAAGATGGTTAATGCCCTGTCTCCTACAGTTCTGTGGTACTGATGTGTAAACACTCACTTCCCCCTGATGTAGATGGGCATACACAGTATGCTCTTGGTCCTGTAGCCAGTCTGAAGGTCCACATCCCGGTTAAATCGGATGTCGCCATAGGCATCCTGGATATTGAGAACCTCCCCAGTGGTGGCAACGTGGCCAGCCACGCCCTTGTCCATGGGGAATCTACATGCAGTAATAGATAGCAGATAAAAAACGTGTACACTGTCAGAACAATCATTATATTGGGCAAACATTTTTTCTTGAAAAGGATGAAAGGCTAGAGTAATGCAGTTTTTAAGACATTTACTACTTAGATGAAATCCACAAACATATGATACAGACAGATCTATGTCCAGAATTAAGACTAATTTGGGCTTCCATGATCATCGAATCCTGTTCTACACAAGGGGTGCAACTCTACACACAGTAAATTGGAGCAGCTTTGATGACTGGTCCATCTAGAGCAATCAGTGAGCAAACCTAGTCTGCGCTATATATGACATAATGTTTTTGGTGCTGCTTTAAGATAGTTTCTACAGCTTATTCTTTCTGCAAAAGTTTACCCTGTCAAGATGTGTGTAACAATTCCTTGAACACTATCAAGTCTGCTATTCATCATGAGGGGAAGCCCAAAATGACATCTCATCAGTATGGGTGACCAATATTCAAGAGGGATTTGATCCTGATGAAGCAGATCCTTGTATAAAATGGGAGACAAATCTTAACAGTGAACTGTTGTAATTGGAGAAATTGGTTAATGAGAACATTGGCATAAGGGAAATATTTTTAATTCCATCTTTCACTACTTCATTTTTCCTGTTTTATATGAAAATAACCTATTTGTACTCAGAACATTTTTACATTTAGAGACCTGAAATAATTATCATATGATGTATAACATTAGAGGCCAGGGCCCCGTTTCACAAAGCTATCACAGCGCTACGACCTCATAATGTAGCTGTTGTACCTCCTATACTGTAACATAGACTTTGGAAAGACTAACGATGGAATTATTAAAAAAGAAAGCATCACTGATGATATAATGACAACAGCAGAGTGTGTATGCAAACCCTGTTTTGTTCGACTTTAGGTAAGTTTTATTAATTTATTTGTTTTACTTTGAGTAACATGTCTTACATGCGAGGGGCAGAGTTTGTGACCACACTTAAAGGTGTTGAACTTTGCTAACATTCGATGTTATTTATGCATTACAATTCCATTACATAGATAATGAACCGAAAAATATTCGCTCGAACGCAACTGCTAAGGCGTTGTGAAGCCAAACCTAATGCGTTACCTCTCCTCTTTCTGCGTTTTGGCGTTCAATTTCGAGAGCGTACGGGAACATCGCTGATTCTCTACGTATATGCTGTAGCAGCGAGCATTTCAAGTTTTTCAAAGCAACGTCTCATTCATTCATTTATTTGAATACACATTCCAAACTCCATGAATGAGCACGTTTCATAACGTTAACTCTTTACCTCCTACCATAGATGTGAATAATGACAGAAGATTATAAACATATACAAAAGGGATGATTTATAAGATAACGAACCTTCATGGAATAAAAACACCTCCAAACTTGTTGGAATGTTTTTGTCACTAGTGAGAGCTGTGAAACACATGTATAATAGAACGCTTACGACACTAACCGGATCGAGCTGCTCAAGGGTTAATGTGTAACTTGGTTGTTCACCGTATATCGTTTGAACGGTTTCAATTGTTTCAGGATGCACCTGTGAAATGCTATCATTAAATAGTTTGCATAGTTTGCGGGGCTTTAAATGAGCGCTCCTGTGGAATGCTATCGTTAAATAGTTTGCATAGTTTCAAGAGCGTTAATGCTCTGTGGAATGCTATCGTTAAATAGTTTGCATAGTTTCAGGATTTTAAGGAGTAATCCTGTGGAATGCTATTGTATGACTGAAATATCTTGAATAGTTTAAGGATTTTTAAGGAGTACTCCCTGTGGAATGCTATTGTATGACTGAAATATCTTGAATAGTTTAAGGATTTTTAAGGGAGTAATCCTGTGGAATGCTATTGTATGACTGAATTTTATTCTTCCTCTGAATGTTTGTTCACCCGCAACGTCAATAGATTGAATACTTTCAGGATTTAAGGAGTAATCCTTTGGAATGTCTATTGTTGTGCTTAGGAATGCTATTGTATTCGTCAGGAATGCTTTTGTTCTCTTAGGAATGCCTATTGTCTGTCCTATCTGGATTACTTACTTACTACTGACCCCCATTGTGTACTGTTCACACAAAAACTAACCTTGTCTAGTATCGTAAATGAATTGTCTTTGAAACTCCCAACAGTGTGCGGAAATAGCCACGCTGGTCCGCTAGCCCGTGGCTAGTAACATCCAATCGGGCCAGTGATTGTGGAGATTTACTGGCCCGGCTGAATTTCCATGGGGTCATTTTTTTAAAATATATCACTCTCTCAGACTTGTTAAGTTATAATACACTTTTAAATCATGCAAGATTATGACCTGATAAATAATGGTATTTTCTTTTTCTTTTTCTAATGTTTTGCTAATTTTCTACTTTCAAATTTCGGGCTAGTGAATAATGTTTGGGCTCGTAACGTTCAGGCATAGTTGGCCCGACTGGCTAGCAACATTGGAAACTATTTCGCACACTGACTCCCAGCCAAGTCCACAATATTCCGTCAAGCCTAGATCTCTTCAGTTGGAAAATGACTTAAAACTTACGAAAATATCACTTGATTTCGGAGACTAAACTTCCTTTGATCTGTACATTGGTGGGTCTTGATCTCGGATCTCGGAGACTAAACTTCCTTTTGATCTGTACATTAGGTCTTGATCTCGGATCTCGGAGACTAAACTTCCTTTTGATCTGTACATTAGGTTAGCGTTCCCATGTTTAGTAATGGAAGTATTGTCACTAAAAGCCACAGGACACTCTTTTCACCATTCTGATTCGGAAGGTCATATCATTGTAAGCCCTTGCGTGTAAAGATAGCTCCTTGAAAAATGTCAATGCCAGTCAGGTTAACATGAAACGTTGACCACCGACTGGAGGCTGAATAGAACTGTCGAACATTTGAAACAACCATTTGAAAGACTCACTGATGTTACATTGGTGTTATGTTTTAATTATCAAGGTATTGTTTCGTTGGGTACAAAGGTGTCACTGTTTTTGCCACGGCTTCACACTCAGTTGTTTTCACGCGTGTTTTGTAGTTATAGTGCGTTTGACTTCATTTGAGACCGATGAATTGCTCACTAACACAAAATCTAATAATTACAAAAACAGAAGCAAATTTTGCACAGTCACATGAACTGTGCTGACCAACTCTGATGATTTGTCTCATAACTTTGGACACCCTGAATAATAAAAAAAGTTGTTTAACAAACGATCATTATTTTGTTGTCACTTACCGCTATTTCTTACGAGGGAGGACCACTTGCTGGTAGAAAAGCCAGGTGTGCGAGTTGTACGTGTGAAATTGAAATTTCACTGCAAGCGCTTGTTGATTAACGGAATATAGAAGTCAATCAACAAACATTTATTTTCACAGACTGCCTGCAGGTGACGCTGTTTACTTCAAGCTCGCGTCATCGGGTAACCATGTTTCATGAACAGGAAAGGAGTGAGTGAGTGAGTTTAGTTTTACGCCGAACTCAGCAATATTCCAGCTATATGGCGGTGGTCTGTAAATAATCGAGTCTTGACCAGACAATCCAGTGATCAACAGCATGAGCATCGATATGCGCAATGGGGAACAGATGGCATAATGCCAACCAAGTCAGCGAGCCTGGCTACAACAGGAAAGGAATGAGAAAAAGATTGTTATTTTAGTGTCTATAAAATATTAGCACAAGCAGTAGCAATATTTTGGAGTTTTTGGTTAGTTAGATATAGGCACTACACACCAATGAATACACAATGATATCAGGGCGGTGGGGTTGCCCAGTTGCTAAAGCGTTCGCTCGTCACGCCGAAGACCGGATTCGATTCCCCACATGGGTACAATGCGTAAAGGCCATTTCTGGTGTCCAACGCCGTGATATTTGCTGGAATATTGCTAAAACGGCGTACAGCCAAAAATCACTCACACGTCAGCATCAAACATACGACCTTTCTATAAAATCTTGGGTAATGTTTGTATCGCTTTTTATTGTTGTTCATGACGCTACCGTATTGAATAGGAGCGCCACAATAGTCTCGGTTAGAAGGGCAATCATTGTTTTCTGTCATGATCGGGATCTCGCCAGCCATTGCCTCACCGTCTCTCTCATCGTTCGCTTTATCTTATCCAAATTAAACTATATATATATATATATATATAGTTTAATTTGTCAATGAATTCCTTTGCAGGATTTGGGAGTGAAGTGAATATATGCACCAATGATGAAAGTGCTAAAGTTTTAATAACAGTTATTTTCCCCTATTAATGTCAACTTTCTTTTCCTCTAATTCCCTAGAGTTATATTAATAATTTTCTAGGCTTTTTTCTTGTAGTAATTACTCAAAGGTTATTTAAATTAGGATTAAAGCCTTATTCCTAGGAATATCAAAGTCCCCATTATGCCAGCAAGGCTTAAGAAACGTTGACCACCGACTGGAGGCTGAATAGGAACTATCGAACATTTGAAACAACCATTTGAAAGACTCTTTACTGATGTTACATTGGTGTTATGTTTTAATTATCAAGGTATTGTTTCGTTGGGTACAAAGGTGTCACTGTTTTTGCCACGGCTTCACACTCCAGCTGTTTTCACGCGTGTTTTGTAGTTATAGTGCGTTTGACTTCATTTGAGACCGATGAATTGCTCACTAACACAAAATCTAATAATTACAAAACAGAAGCAAATTTTGCACAGTCACGCATGAACTGTGCTGACCAACTCTGATGATTTGTCTCATAACTTTGGACACCCGAATAAAAAAAGTTGTTTAACAAACGATCATTATTTTGTTGTCACTTACCGCTATTTCTTACGAGGGAGGACCACTTGCTGTGGTAGAAAAAGCCAGGTGTGTGCGAGTTGTACGTGTGTGAAATTGGAAATTTCACTGCAAGAAGCGCTTGTTGTTTAACGGAATATAGAAGTCAATCAACAAACATTTATTTTCTACAGACGCTGCCTGCAGGTGACGCTGTTTACTTCAAGCTCGCGTCATCGGGTAACCATGTTTCATGA